TCTATAGGACTTTGGTGTGTGTTACCTACCTATCTCCACATACTTTACTGGTACCGACCTCTATAGGACTTTGGTGTGTGTTACCTACCTATCTCCACACACTTTACTGGTACAGACTTCTATAGGACTTTGGTGTATGTTACCTACCTATCTCCACACACCTTACTGGTACAGACTCCTATATGACTTTGGTGTGTGTTACCTACCTATCCACACACACTGGTACCGACCTCTATAGGACTTTGGTGTGTGTTACCTACCTATCCACACACACTGGTACCGACCTCTTAGTTACTATTCCAGTCAATGTGATATCACTAGGTATAAGTTACCATTCCAGTAAATGTGATATCACTAGGTATAAGTTACCATTTCAGGCAATGTGATATCACTAGGTATTAGTTACCATCCCAGTCAATGTGATATCACTAGGTATAAGTTACCATTCCAGTAAATGTGATATCACTAGGTATAAGTTACCATTCCAGTAAATGTGATATCACTAGGTATAAGTTACCATTTCAGTCAATGTGATATCACTAGGTATAAGTTACCATTCCAGTAAATGTGATATCACTAGGTATAAGTTACCATTCCAGTAAATGTGATATCACTAGGTATAAGTTACCATTCCAGTAAATGTGATATCACTAGGTATAAGTTACCATTTCAGTCAATGTGATATCACTAGGTATAAGTTACCATTTCAGTCAATGTGATATCACTAGGTATAAGTTACCATTCCAGTAAATGTGATATCACTAGGTATAAGTTACCATTCCAGTAAATGTGATATCACTAGGTATAAGTTACCATTCCAGTAAATGTGATATCACTAGGTATAAGTTACCATTCCAGTAAATGTGATATCACTAGGTATAAGTTACCATCCCAGTCAATGTGATATCACTAGGTATAAGTTACCTTGGGTGGAATCCTTCAGCTTACTGGTGCGTTGGTCTGTCTTGGTCTGTTTGATTAACCGACATCCAGATCTCTGAAGTGCCACACTAATCCAGTCTGCAACAGCATCCCCACAGTCTATCCCATTGACCCTGTGAATAGAAAGATACAAAGAGCTCAAATGACCCTGATTGCAGACATCACCTTATCATATAATGTAGTGTTGTAATCCTCTCACACTTTACTGGTACAGACTCCTATAGGACTTTGGTCTGTGTTACCTACCTATCTCCACACACTTTACTGGTACAGACCTCTATAGGACTTTGGTGTGTGTTTCCTACCTATCTCCACACACCTTACTGGTACAGACCTCTATAGGACTTTGGTGTGTGTTACCTACCTATCTCCACACAACTTACTGGTACCGACCTCTATAGGACTTTGGTGTGTGTTACCTACCTATCTATCTCCACACACTTTACTGGTTCAGAATTCTATAGGACTTTGGTGGGTGTTACCTACCTATCTCCACCCACTTTACTGGTACAGCCCTCTATAGGACTTTAGTGTGTGTTACCTACCAATCTCCACACACTTTACTTGTACAGACCTCTATCGGACTTTGGTGTGTGTTACCTACATATCTCCACATACTTTACTGGTACAGCCCTCTGTAAGACTTTGGTGTGTGTTCCCTACCTATCTCCACCCACTTTACTGGTACAGCCCTCTGTAAGACTTTGGTGTGTGTTAACTACCTATCTCCACAGACTTTACTGGGACAGAATTCTATAGGACTTTGGTGTGTGTTACTATTCAAGGGCAAGTGAAATGCTGGCATCTCTGAAATAAAAACAAAACTCTACTCAATATTTTTATTTAATGACATTCACACTAAATATACGGCTAGTTGTTCAAATGATACTACTCTGAACTTAATCTCAAGAAGATAAAAAACAAATAAATCCCCTTTATGCACTTTCAATGTGAGTTGTCTGAATTTTCCAAGTTAAAATAAGGATGATGCAAGGCAAAATAGTGACGTGGATGTTAGCCAGTGGGTATGAGAATAACTGACAAATTACATGACAGCATTAAAGCTGTCTTTTTTTTAAAGAAAAGGCTGTCAAACTATTTTTTAAAGTGGACCATACATGTATTTTTTCTAATTTTGATTGTAAAGATATCTGGAGGTTTAGATTTGTGTTAATCGTAAATACCAGGATATTCTAGTTTTAATGTTGGTTCTAGCATGTCTAAAGTTGGTTGGATCAGACACAGATTTGTCTCCCTTTTTTGACTCAATACGACACCGCTCTCTGAGACAATCATCCATTCACGGTCGTACAGAAGCCCTCGTTCTCCTAACTGCCATTCTTTTACCTGGAGATGATAATAAAAAATAAAAAAAACAGATTCACTGGGTAAACCAGAGTTGTCAACAAGGGGGTGACAAGTACACCCCCCGCAAACACGTGAATTGTAAAATGACAATGGAAATGTCATTCTCTGTATTCTGGTTTGAGTTTTTGATCCCATTGTTTTATATTTTTTTGGGATGGGCTTCCCGAACTATCAATTTTATCTCTCTTGTCCAGAGCACATTTTTCTGCCATTTTCCTGTTAAAAAAAGGAGGAAGTGTGATCACAGTTACATATAAGCTTCAGTTTTCTAGGCTTATTCAAAACACAAGGAAGACTGCAATCAGGATAACATAATAAAACAATGCAGAAACGGGCAAAAAATTCCAGAATCAGCAGAAATAAGACAAAATCATACAGTGAATAGACAAAATTGTAAGGCATATTTTTTATGTAACAAGAGGCCCATGGGCCTTAACGTCATCCTCGATCTCTACACCCCTGGAATATGTCATAGCAAAATTGAAGGCTCGGCGTGCGCCACCTTGTTGATGAGACAAGAAGAATAGTTCGATCCTTTGATGTACATCAAAAGAATCTCGCGGTCATGTAACAGTAAAAAGTGACAGGCTTTGAAGTTGGGCGTCTCTTCTTTGTAATCTTCAAAGGAGTGGAATAAGCCTAACGATTGGTCAGGTTTTTTTTTACCTGAGACCAATCAAACAGCTATATTCGTGCCTTCAATTTTGCCATGACATATTCCAGAGGTGCAGAGAGCGAAAGTGAGCGTAACTCCTGGATATCGAGGATGCCTTAACGGTCACCCAAGTTCTGATATATTTATACAGAGAGTTGTTTTTTGTTTTTAAAACATGAACAGAAGTATTATTCAAAGTGACAAAAAAACAATAAAACAACCTTATTCAATATCAAGCATACAGATTTATGACTGAAAAGTGTTTGAAACTAGCACCTCTGATTCTTAACAAGGATGATGAAGAAATTTTAACACACTGACTTCTTTGGGCACAGGGTTATAATTCCAATCAAGTTATCAACATGTAATATTCCCCTTCGCCTTCCCCAGGGGTAAACGTGAGACCCTAGGGTCATAAAATTCACAATTTTGTTAGAGCACCTTAAGTCCCTTCCATCTATGAAGAGTATTTGATTCTACCATTTCCGGGTCTTGAGAGGAAGATTTTTGAAATTTCAGTCAATTTAACCCTTTTTGGCCCAACCCATCAGCCCCTGGGGGTCAGTCAGGGCTGATATGTACATACAATCAAACTGCTATCCAATACTGATAATGCTAACCCAAATTAAATTACTTCCAATGGAAGTTAAACAAATGTTGGTCCAAAATATGATTTCCCTATGTAAACTATAGTAAAGTTTACCCCCTCCCCAGGGGGAAACGTGAGACCCCAGGGGCAAGAAATTCACAATTTTAGTAAAGCACCTTAAGATCCTTCCATCTATGAAGAGTATGTGATTCTATCATATTTGGGTCTTGAGAAGAAGATTTTTGAAATTTTAGTCAATTTGACCCTTTTTGACCCCGCCCCTCAGGCCCCTGGGGGCTGGGGACCATATCCTCCACTACTTTTGTTGACCTTTGGCCATGGAAAGTTTTTGCAAAATTTCAATTTGACCCTTTTTGACCCTTTGGAGAAGAAGTCGAAAATGTAAATTGTTTACGGACACACGACGGACGACGGACGACGAACAAAAGGCGATCGCAATAGGTCACTTGAGACCTCTGCATGGTTCTACCACTACATAAAAAAGTTTCAAATAAAACTATTTAAAAATGTCCAAAATCATAGCCAGACAATGTTTTTTCAGTTAATTTTATATAAAAGGGCATAACTGTCTATAAAAGTTCCGAAATGCAACTAATTATTTCAGGGGACACAACTAATTATTTCAGGGGACACAACTACATAATGTACTATCATAACACATTTTTTTTTTTTTTTAAATCTATTGAAAAATGAGCGAATGCAAAGCCGGACAAATGTCTACGGACAGACGGATGAGCTGATTCCAGTATACCCTCCCCAATTTCTGATGTATTGTGACAGCCCTATATATAAGCATGTGACATACCTCCATTGCCCCACAGGATTTTACAGGGTATACCATGATACCGGTAAGTCTTCTGGTGTGTTCATTACAGCTTTCTAAGATATGATCCATTTCCAAGGGTGACAGTGACAGACATCCTGATTGATCAGATTGTTTATGGCACACTGTTTCTGATTGGCAGTCTATGAATTCCTCCTCTGAAGAGAAATCAGACTCTGAGCTGTCCAAACATGTGGTGTGTTCACTTGTCCCTGATGTCGTATGTGATGTATGATCATAACTGTGGCAACGGAAATCTTTGAGAGACATATTCTGAAAGTTGAATTTTTCTCCAGATTTTTCTTGAAAGCATGCAACTATGAAATTCAAACAGATCTGTGCATCTTTCAGAATGGAGGGATAGCCAAATGATACTCGGACAGACCCTGTGGGAAGCCCTTCAATCAGATCCCTGTTGTCCCCACACCTGTGGCCGGCCTAGTAAAGGGAGATAATCAATTAGTCTGATTAAGTATTACCTGCAATAATTCATTTGACAAATTACTGTGAAATAACTACTTTTCCTGAGGTTTTTTATATTGTTGATTCCGTAGGTACTATAGGTTCTTATATGACCCAGCTGTTTATAGGATGTTAAAATTAATATCATATGTCCACGAAGTTATTACAGGTTTGACATAAAGATACTTTTGGTATGAGAGGGAACTAAAAATCAAGGAATTTGGGTCCCTATGAAACAGTGTCTTTTTGGAAAAAACATAAAATTTGGATCAAGAAGGAAATTTAGGCCATACGAAAATACGTTATTTCACTGTATACGTACATGTTCACAAAAATTAACTATATAGATTAAAGAGTCTCACTGAAATAGATGTTTTACAGTTAAATAGCTATATTTACATTTGCCCCCGTGCCGNCAGTGTTAGAGGGCAAGTGTAATTATATAGGCTATAATTACAACTGCTCGACTATAATTACAACTGCCTGTTTCAGGTGTAGGAATATGTAAACAAACAAAATGGCCGCCTGAAATGTATTTTGAGGCAGGGCAAATGGTTTTTGTAGGAATATGTCTTAAAAAAGAAAAATATGTAAATATAAAAAATACCTGGTTGTCTGGATGTAATTATTGTTGATATAATTACAAGTGGCCTCTGGCAAATCTACCATAAACCCCTAGCGGGTTTTATGGGATTTGCCAGAGGCCACTTGTAATTATATCAACAATAATTACATTCAGACAACCAGTTATTGTTTAAATACATTCCAGATTTATGTACCTTACATAATACATACATTTATACATATATTTTTTTCCCATCAAGGGGAGATAATATGAGAAATGCAAAGGAAACATAAATCTAACCAAGTCTGACACAGTTTTGGGTATTTTGACAAAATCAAAATATATCATTACAAATAAAGACTTTGATGTTTATGCATGATAATTAAGAGTGAAAAAGGTTACACAGGAAAGTTTGTTGATACCTGAAAATTATCTTTGACCTGTTTTGATGAGAGGCCGAGGTATTTCTGACACGCTCCTACGTTACAGAAACACCCTGTTCTTAGATGAATGTTGTACAGCTGTGCCATCTTCTCAACCTGGAGGTACAAAGATTTCCTACAAACTTGCAACAGTTATGTTATCATTTAACCTTACAATATGTATAAAAGTCAAATAACCCATTAACACCTAATGTTGCATTTGGACTGCTCCAAATCAAAGGATGTCATAGTCCATTATCGAAATACAGGGGTGAACAAGTTAAACTTGCCTAAGTACATAAATCAACAAAATTTACAAAAGTACAAAAGATGATTAATTTTATGACAGTACATCAATTATAATTACAACAGTATGGCTCAGCCAATCAAACTTTTAGAAGGTACATAAACTGTAGCTCGGGTAACTATATAAATATCTCTATCATACTAGAAATTGGCTTTTAAAACCAAAATGTTTGATTGTTTACAATAGTAATGGCTGAATTTCAGTAGAGCAATCTTTACCTCCGCAAATCCTATATAATCTCCATTAGCCCGCCTCAGGTTAAAGTTAACTATTGGCCCTTGAGTTTGAATGTCATCAAAGTTCCCCTCACAGTAGATGTCGGCCAAGGGTCGCCCGTTGCCATGGTGAAGGGATGACAGATTGTGATGAAAATATTGAGCAATGGTAAAAGCATGCTGGGAGATCTTCTGAATACCTCCTGGTGAGAGAAAAGAAAGAACATGTCTGACAAATGAATACATTTAGATGTAATTTTTTTGTTTGTTTCCGAGAAAAAGTAATTAAATGAAAGAAAATTGGGAAATTTTGTAGATAGAGGTTTGACACTAGATGCAGTCCATTTCCATCCAGTGTGACCAATGTGAACTACAAAAACACAAGAGTTATCTTTCTTATATCATAGGATATTTTTCACACAGAGGATATTGTACAATTTCTTTAATAAAAACAAAATTTTAACAATCAAATTAATATTTTAAGAATAAACATATCTTTCTGAACTTTTTGCATATAAAACAATTTTCTTTTCCTTTTTTTTTTTTTTTTCGTTTTAAAATTTGACTACTATGTAGTCACTAGGCAAATTGTCAATTGGTATACTGATCAAAAAATTCTGTTATCACCTTAAAATCTATGACCCAAGTGCCAAATTGGCCTCTTTGTTCACTTCACTGGCATTGCACTGTTTAATAACGGCGATTGTATCTAAGTCAAATTTTCATTGTATTGTTAGATATGAACTTTAATTAGCTTTGTTAAAGATTTTCCTGTACTTATTTCCAAAACCTGCCTATAAGCCAATGAGACTGCCTGTATAATGGACCTCCGTATGAATCTAGTATATTAAGTGTTACATAGAGAAAGTTTCTTGCCTTGGAGAACAACTTCACCAACACAATAAACAATTAAATGATCAGTAAAACTTGTTTCTCTACTGAGTTAGGCAGACTGAAAGAAATAATGGCACGGTGTAACCTGTCTGCGTCAACTTCTGTATAAACTGGACACCTGTATAAACCAGGCATTTATTTAGGTCCAAAATTATATTGATTTGCAAATTGACCTCATTATTCAAAAGCCTCACTTTTCTAAATGGATTATGTTGTATATATATAAATAAAAACACCTTATTAATATGCCACTATTTGCCAATTGTACCTTCTAAAACTGGCAACATTTGTCAGTAAAACCTTGTTATACTCTCACCATTTGTCAATTCTACCTTGTTATACTGCCACTATTTGTCCATCATGTCTTGTTATACTGCTATCATTTGTCCATTATGACTTGTTATACTGCTCCAATTTTTAAATTATACCACTATTTATCAATTATGTCTTGTTATACTGTCATCATTTGTCAATCCTACCTGGTTAAACTGTGACCTTTGTCAATCATGATTGTCATACTACCTCATTTTTTTCAATCCTACCTTGTTATATTGCCACTATTTATCAATTATGTCTTGTTATACTGTTATCTTTTGTCAATCCTACCTGGTTAAACTGTGACCTTAGTCAATTATGCCTTGTTATACTGCCCAATTTTTTCAATTATACCTTGTTATACTGCCATCATTTGTCAATCCTATATTGTTATACTGCCATCATTTTTCGATCATGTTATACTGTTATTTTTTGTCAATCCAAACTGGTTATACTGTCACCTTTGTCAATTATACCTTGTAATTAACTGCCATTATTTTTCTATCCTACCTTGTTATTCTGCCACTATTTGTCAATCCTACCTTGTTATACTGTCACCTTTGTTAATCAAACCTTGGCAATCCTATATTGTTAAAATGCCATCATTTGTCAATCAAACCCTGTCAATTATGCCTTGTTAAACTGCCATCATATGTCAATCCTACCTGGTTATACTGTCACCTTTGTCAATCCTACCTTGTTATACTGTCACCTTTGTCAATCAAACCTTGTCAATCCTATATTGTTATACTGCCATCATTTGTCAATCAAACCTTGTTATGCTGTCATCATTTGTCAATCAAACCTTGTTATACGTCGATAATGTGTCAATCAAACCTTGTTATACTTCCATAATTTGTCAATCCTAACTGTTATACTGCCATCATTTGTCAATCAAACCTTGTTATACGTCGATAATGTGTCAATCAAACCTTGTTATACTTCCATAATTTGTCAATCATAACTTGATATACTGTCATCATTTGTGAATCAAACCTTGTTATACTTCCATAATTTGTCAATCAAACCTTATTATACTTCCATAAATTGTCAATCATAACTTGATATACTGTCATTATTTGTCAATTATAACTTGATATACTGTCCTCATTTGTCAATCAAACCTTGTTATACTTCCATAATTTGTCAATCAAACCTTGTTATACTTCCATAATTTGTCAATCAAACCTTGTTATACTTCCATAATTTGTCAATCATAACTTGATATACTGTCATCATTTGTCAATCATAACTTGATATACTGTCATCATTTGTCAATCAAACCTTGTTATACTTCCATAATTTGTCAATCCTAACTGTTATACTGCCATCATTTGTCAATCATAACTTGATATGCTGTCACCTTTGTCAATCAAACCTTGTCAATCCTATATTGTTATACTGCCACCATTTGTCAATCCTAACTGGTTATACTGTCACCTTTGTCAATCAAACCTTGTCATATTTCCATAATTTGTCAATCAAACCTTGTTATACTTCCATCATTTGTCAATCAAACCTTGATATACTGTCATCATTTATCAATCATAACTTGATATGCCGTCATCATTTGTCAATTCTACCTTGTTATACTGCCACCATTTGTCAATCCTACCTTGGTATACTGTCACCTTTGTCAATCAAACCTTGTCAATCCTATATTGTTATACTGCCACCATTTGTCAATCCTACCTGGTTATACTGTCACCTTTGTCAATCTTACCTTGTTATACTGCCACCATTTGTCAATCCTACCTTGTTATACTGTCACCTTTGTCAATCAAACCTTGTCAATCCTATATTGTTATACTGCCATCATTTGTCAATCCTACCTTATTATACTGCCACCATTTGTCAATCAAACCTTGTTATACTGTCATCATTTGTCAATCAAACCTTGTTATACTGTCATCATTTGTCAATCATAACTTGATATACTGTCATCATTTGTCAATCAAACCTTGTTATACTTCCATAACTTGTCAATCCTACCTTGTTATACTGCCATCATTTGTCAATCAAACCTTGTTTTACTGTCATCATTTGTCAATTATAACTTGATATACTGTCATCATTTGTCAATCAAACCTTGTTTTACTGTCATCATTTGTCAATCATAACTTGATATACTGTCATCATTTGTCAATCAAACCTTGTTTTACTGTCATCATTTGTCAATCATAACTTGATATACTGTCATCATTTGTCAATCAAACCTTGTTTTACTGTCATCATTTGTCAATCATAACTTGATATACTGTCATCATTTGTCAATCAAACCTTTTTTTACTGTCATCATTTGTCAATCATAACTTGATATACTGTCATCATTTGTCAATCAAACCTTTTTTTACTGTCATCATTTGTCAATCCTACATAGTTATACTGCCATCATTTGTCAATCCTACATAGTTATACTGTCAACATTTGTCAATCATGTTATGCTGTTTCCATTTTTCCAGAGAAATGTTATTATTACAATGGTGTTAAGCAATACATTGAATAGTACATACAGGGTCACTGAATTATGTAAGTAATAGCAATACAGGGTCACTGAATTATGTAAGAGGTAGCAATACAGGGTCACTGAATTATGTAAGTGGTAGCAATACAGGGTCACTGAATTATGTAAGACGTAGCAATACAGGGTCACCGAATTATGTAAGTGGTAGCAATACAGGGTCACTGAATTACGTAAGTGGTAGCAATACAGGGTCACTGAATTATGTTAGTGGTAGCAATACAGGGTCACTGAATTACGTAAGTGGTAACAATACAGGGTCACTGAATTACGTAAGTGGTAGCAATACAGGGTCACTGAATTACGTAAGTGGTAGCAATATGGTAAATGTGACATTAAAATTTTAAAGTAACCATATCTTAGTTTAGGTTATAGTCTTCTCATTTTACTGGATATCTGAAGTTCTATACCCCAGTGAATCATTATAAATGTCTAACAAATTGAGATTCATGTCAAATGAGGTTGTTTTTAATAAATTATTTGCTCAATTGAATCCCAGGGAACAAGTGGTCACAGGGATGAAAATGTTAAAATATTAATAAAAGGAATCTGAAAGAGGATATGAAGGTAATTTATGTGCATGTGTTAGCATCTCGAGCAGAAGACAAATTACTAAGGATGATCTGAACAGCTGACTGAATCTTCTAAAACAGAAACAAAGGAAGAAGTGACACTCTGAATAGGGAAGACATAAATACTTTAGAAACAGAAATTAAAACATCATTAATTTCAAGAACAAGAAATAATTGCACCAGTGTTTCAAATTAACACATGTTTGATTGAATAAAAGGATCCAATGCACGGGGGAATTTAAATGCACCAATCACAGCAGTTCAATTGTTTCAAAAACTTGAATTAAAGCATTATCAATTTCAAGGACGAATATAATTGGACAATAATTACAAATTAACGCTGTCTTTGGTTGCATAGAACAATTCATTTCATGAGGAAATTTTAATGCATCTGAGAATTGCAACCGAACAATTCTAAGAAGATATTCAAAAACCCCACAAATGGCATTAATTTTATAAAGCTTTCCACAAATCCTTGTGAATCTAATTAACACTAATTAACACTAATTAGGGCTAAACAGAGTTTCACAATTAAGAAAAGTACACCTTTCTAACAGGAATGTTCATTTAATCATCAAAGCAATATTCATTTTTATAGAAGTACTACACACATCATTGTATTACTCGGCGAAATCTTCGTCGTACTTACAATAACTAACTTAGAGAGTATTTTTCTTAATTTGATAATCTAATTTCGTTAATCAAACTAGGTGTTGGTCAAATGAGAAGAGGTTTAAGAATTCATTTGGGCAAAAATTTGTTGACGCCTCCAAAGATTGGGAGGTGTTAATCTGTTCTCCATCATACAATTCCTTAATTGTCTGTTCTGAAAACAATTGACGGTTACCAGTTCTGTAGGATGATCCTCCCTGTTACGCTGTCAGTAATGTCTTACGACAACAACAGAGTCCTATATATTACATAGCGATCGTAGTTAAATGCAAGTAGGTAATTTTTCATTTTAATTCACTGTTTACATTGTGGAAGAATTAAAGTCAAATGCTCTTTCTATACCTGAAGAATTGTTCTGTACATGAACAGTCGTTTCTGGATGAAACAATGGAATTGTTTGTCTATTAGGTGATTGATGGATGTTTGCTTTGGAAGTGAGGATTGTTTGACAGATGTTTCATATACATATAATTGATATTTTAAGGAAATCCGTACCAGGTGTTTTTTTAAAGTTGAAATTTTCTTTCTTTTGTACGGATGATAACGCCACTGAATTATATGAAACTGCTATCCAAGTCTGTGATAATGCAAGAAAAGTGAGTTTTTTTCTGAATTAGAGTTACTTCCCTTGTCAAGGTATTCATCCCTCATTTTGATGCTATGTATTTTTCACTTTTTGATATCAACATTTGTAAAGTGTAGGATTGTAATTATATATGTTCCTGAGGTCAGCTCCTGTAACTTTTTTTCTGATATTTAATTTTGTTTTCAAGTACTCAAATCTGAACAATTTTATTTCTGTGAGATGCAACATCAGAATCAACTGACATGAAACAGTATCATTGTTGCATGAAAAGAACTATTGATAATGCTGAGAATAGTAATACATTATAACGTAGATTTTAACTTGTTGGTATCTATCTTTTATGGAGACAACTAAAACTGACTTTATCATGTCACCAATCGTATAGTGCTATTTCACATATCATGTCACTTTATACTCTTATAATAATAGTAATAATAATTTGAGGTTCTTTATCTTATATACCGCTTTATCACAACCTAGTTCCTAGGTCGTCTCAAAGCGGTTAACGAATTATTATCCGTGGTTATAGGGCCTTTGCAACCAGCCAATATCTTTCACAGCTAGCATTCAACAATTCTAGCACTGCCCAACCCCGTACTCATTTACAGCTGAGTAGACTGGAACAAGCGGAGTAAAGTATCTTATTCAAAGATACAACACAATGCTGTGACATGACTCAAACCCGCAACCCTTCAGTCACGAGCCCCGGGTCCTACCACTAGACTACCGTGCATCCTACATCAAACATCATGTGACATGGCATTATATGGCATTGGCAATATAAAACCGACCTGAATTCGGATACGCTATAAACATATGTATGCTTAGTGGTTATATATATGTACGATATAACGATTTAAACTGATTATTGCCAACTCGTACATATTTTATACTTTTTTATACACATGCTTTACTGGTCATTTGTCTAATGATGGTGACGGGGTCCATACCATACTAGTCATGGAAACATCACACATAAACACTTACATGTTGCGATACATAACCTTTCTACATTTTATATTTACCACCCTGAAGAAAACTTTTAGAAATATGGTGAAATCTTATGAAACATTATTATTAAGAATGAAACTGTTACCTCCAATTCTATCTAAGGCGTCAAAACCATGGCGGAGAGCAATTATATCTAAAAATGGTATGGTGCCATCCTCATATCTGAAAAACAGAAAATATATTTAGATTGTTTGGTTTACTTTTGAAAAATTACGAAGCTACTTGTTGAAAAATACAGAAAAGCCTCCTTTTCTCTGAAAAAACGGGAAATTAAACTCATTTAAACGGTACATACAGTCTGTGTTTGTTCTGTATTTTAAATTATTGTGTTTGTAATTCTGTTTGACTCTTGTTTTAATACTATGTCACATATCTCTTTCACAGTTAACAAGTAATAACTGATTCATAAATCTTACATTCTTCAGTAGGCCATGGTAAGGGTGAAATCGACATTTGACCCTTAAAGTGTGAGTTACATGAATTCTAAGCATTTAAAAAAAGACTTAAAGACACTGACCCTTTCTTATCTTGCAATTTTCAAAAGATGAATGTTTGTTTACCCCTATAGTGCATACAGAAAAAGGAAGAAACTATTTCACTTTGAACAATTGTTTTTTTTCAATTCCAACTTCTGCTTTTTTCCTTACAAAACAATAGATACTTATGTGTTGCGAAAATTGTATTCCTGAAAATTTCTGATAATGCTGTTAAATGTTTAAATAGAACAAATAACAACTAAATAATTAATGTACAACATTTATTACTGTTGTATATACGACATCTATAGAAAAGTCAAACTATATTACACATAAATGATATATATATCCATCATACAAAAAAATACATTGACATGCAATTTGAAAACATAAAACATTGGCATTTCTGGGGCAAACTCAGTGACGGTATAGAGTGTCGACGCTATTCCTCGACTAAGCTGGCAATGACATGGTTCTCTATATGTGTGCAGGCTTTGCTGTTACACTAAATAGAGTGCGGGGATGTAATAAGTAGTGGTGGAGCCGTTTCCACCTTATCTACTTCTTTAGGTGCATTGCAAGCCAGACCCGAAGAGGAATAGCGTCTTATATGTTTTAACTTTATATAATCTTATGTTTTACCCAGACTGGCTGTAACTCTTTGGTTACATTGCTCCAGTCATTGCTCCAGTCTGACTGGCTGTAACTCGTTGGTTACATTGCTCCAGTCATTGCTCCAGTCTGACTGGCTGTAACTC